CCTTTAATTTGGCGTTTTCTTCCTTCGTTCGTATTACCGTGGTAGATACCCGATGATGTGGACGGTTCATCTAAAAGTAACTGCGAACTAGAATTGCTCGAAGCTCGATCAGTGTCTGAGGGACAATAAGTTACGTCAGTGTCATCGCCCGAATAGTCACCATCGTAGGAGCTAGTTTCGTCTATTAGGTTAAAAGGTTCAGGTTCTATAATCGCAGTATTTTCATTATTACTGAAATATGAAGGTGGAACTGAGGAACATCTTTTCCTACCGGATTCTTTGGTATCATCGCATGTGAGAGCCGACATCGATAAACTACGTCCTCTATCAACAGAACAAATATCACTGTAAATATCAAAACCATTTTGTTTTCGATAATGTACTGTAATTGTAGGTGGAACTGAAGAACAACGTCGTTGTATCATTAAATGGTTACTCTTTGGTATGTTTGAAAGTGAATACGATTTAGTAATTTTACATCTCTTCTTTGGTCTTAGGCAATCATTCGTAGAGACTTTTGTTTTCTTTTCAGGTAACAATTGCTCAGGTATATCTGAAAAGATGATAAACAGTGATAACAAAAACATTGGAACACGAAAAATCCTATAATTCCTCAGAGTCAAACCTAGAATTTGCCTGTCACAGAAATTATAGTTCAGTAAAAAAAAAACTTACATGAGTTAGAAGAAGATGTTTGAAGCTGCGTTTTCTCCGCAAGTCCTCTAAGTATGTTTAATATTTGTCCAGCTCGAACTCCCTGATAACGCTTTGCCATTCGCGACATTATACTGAAATATTAGTAAAACGATACCTCCTAATTACATCAACAAAATAAAGAAGTAAGAGAAATATATCCTATCTACAACAAAAAAATAAATAAAATGTTTAATAATTACAATTAAATGAATAAATTATTTATCCCTGTAGTAAAATATATTTATTTTTCTTACCTGTTATACTTTAGACCTCATCAATACGTTACTAACACCATTAACAAAATATTTTATTTAATAATTCCGGCACTCGTAGTTAAAACTATAACTTGTCGCAATAGGAATTACTGCCAACTGACTTTTCAAACTGTACGACCGTTCTTCCACCCCTCCCTCATTCGCCCACCGTGCGGTATGTACACCGCCACAGAAGAAGTCCTAATTTGTCACTCAGAACCAAACTACGATCACGTATAGACGAGTCTTTTAGAAGTTAGGAGGTAATGCCATAAAATTGATACGATGATTTAGTTAGAAGGTATTACTAGATTGTGATAAATCTTGTTACAGTTAAAAAATCAGCTCAGAGGTTTTAGTAAGACATGCGAATTCGAACCTTAAATTTAAATGTATAAAAAAGTGAATTTCTCGAAAAATGTCAGATAGGAGGTATTGGCACTTCACCGTCGATATGTCACTGACACTATGCACGGAAACAAATAAATCAGGCAATGCAACGCTAGAAAGATTTCTCACACCAATACCACCAAATTTTATAGATAAAGTAGCTTGAGTCCAGGCTGTTGTATTTATAGTTAAATTTAAAAAAATTCTAGAGCTCTTTTAAGATTGTTATTAATATCTTTTAAAACTTTCGAACATTTCCGGACTTGACTCGAGCAGACTAAGTATGTAAATCTAAGTACAAGGTGATAATATTTTAAAATGGTTTAAAACAGATCAAATTGTGTTTTTAAAACAGGTTTACTACCAGGTTTACTACCAAAAAATAATGGTTCACCTAGCGGGTATAGCTATTTCGTACTGACAGTTTTTATTCCTGGAAAAAAATTGATTGAAATTTTGAATTAAGTTGTCTGTGTTAGAATTAGATGAATTTTTGGAAAAAAAATATTTCACATTAATTTCTATTTGGTTCAAGACAAATATTTTTAAGATTTCGACAAATATGAGAATGATCACTTTACCCGTGACGACGACGTGCTCTTACTCCCAGTGTACCGTCGTCCAGGTACAAGGCTTGCTCGACTTGCAAGCTTGGATTTCAAGTTAGAAATAATAAGTTGAATTCCCAAACTAAAAAGTGCTGAACCTAGTGGTGTTTAACCAACTCTGATGCTGATGTTCTTGTTAAGGTTGACCTATGGAATGCTTTTAACTCTATCGATAGGGTAACCTTACTGAAAGAAGTGGCTAACAATACCCCCGAAATTTATCATTACGTTTGGTAATGTTATAGTCAAAATACTGACTTGTTTTACGAAAACTATGTTATCGATTCTGCTGTCGGTGACCCACTAGGCCCAGCACTTTTCAGTTTGGGAATTGAACCAATTATTTCAAATTTGAAGTCCAAGCTGAATGGCTGGTACTTGGACGGCGGTACACTGGGTGGTAGAGCAGATGACGTCCTCAGTGATCTTACTCATATTTTTCGAAATTTTACAACTATTGGTCTTGAAAAAAATAGACCTAAATACCGAAAGCAGAATCTTTGTATTGTAAGAAATTTAGGTCTCAACTCCTCTCTTACCAGAAGGATGTCCAACTAAACTCCATTAAAATGGAAATATTTCATATCCGTTGCCTAGTTTCAATTACCGAATTACTTTAAATTATAACTTAAACATTTCAGAAATATATCATAAAATTACTAGATTTATGTTATATAATCTATAAGCATTAAATTCAGAAACTGCAGCTGCAATAAATGTAGTTTTCATGTTTCTGTATATTTATTAGCTTGATATTATCAGTCTTTATTTTTTTAAATTCATATTGTTAAATATATATGGCACAACTTCCATATATATTTAACAATATGAATTTAGATTAGAGTTACCCGCAAGAAGTTGAACACGTAGCGTGTAGCCCTCACAGTGATGAATTATATATTTTTTTCTTCCTTGTGTGTCATCTCTTGGTGATCCGAATTAAGAGAAAAGAATAAACATACAAAGCCAATCGAAAAAAAATCATATTAAAAAATAATAAATAAAGATGTAATTTTAAAAAGTATCATATCAATATTTTTTACGTGGAAGAGCCATGCTGCAACTATATTAGTAGTATAGTTGTAGCACGAATGGGTCGGCTTGACCGAGGAAGGACCACGCTCTTACAGAATACCAGCGTAAAATAGCAGTTTAACGCTGCTGTGTTTCTTATGGTGAGTGTAGAGAACCGGAGACCCTTTTTACTGGAAATGAGGCATTCCACCTTTGTCCTCACGGGTGACAACGGATCTGCATTTTGATATGTAATATAGGATAGATGTAGATGTCCATGGGCCGCAGCAACCACTTACAATCAGGTGGACTGTGTGCTCGTTTGTCACCCTTATCCTATAAAAAAAATTAGATACCTAATTAATATGGTCTAGACTCAAAATTTTAAAGCTTAAATTTTTTTTTACATAATATAATCCAGTGCTTGAATACAATCCCACCTGGTGGTAAGTGGTGACGTAGTCTTAGATGGTAAGAGACAGTTCTTAGCGTAACAAAAGCCGCCCAGATTGTATTCGAACGGAAATATTATTTATTATTATATAAATTATTCCATTACATTACTGTACGCATTACAAAAGATGAAGCAAACCGTTTGGTTCTAATGCGTGGAATATCTCTTTCAGAAACGGCAGAAGCCTGTGTCCGCCTGTAGACAGTACATTTTTTAAAACTTTTATATAAATAAGCGATCCTTTAATAGACAGTCCCCTAATATGTAATAAAGTTGTTTGTAAGTAATAAGTTAGCAAACACGACTTATTAAGGGCCCAAACAAATAGGATCAAACATTATAGTTAACGAATGAACCCAATCTTTGTAGTAATATAATTAATATTATAGTGTACAAATTCGATTCAATTATATATAATATATAAGCTTATGTTAAACCCATAAAAAAACAGTGCTCGTATTTTAATAACTCAATATATACTTTAATAATACTGTTAAGTTTGTGACTTTAGAATTCTAATCTATCTGTTTGTGTATTCACGATTTACACTATACTACCGTACGTGTATTCATAAATTATGGTAGGTTGGTAGTTAGAGGCCCCAGGTAAACTTATAGCCTTCGGTGATCTACGAACGTACAGTGCACCTAATCGTAAGTGGATACTATATTCCATAGATATCTCCATTTACCCTCGATTAAAATTTAAAATTAAGTATACCTCAAAACTTGAAAACGAGACTGTACAACCAGTGCGTGTTGCCAGTGATGACATACGGTACTGAGACGTGGTCCTTCACTGCTGGCCGGATGGGGAAGCTCAAGGTCGCTCAGCGAGCTATGGAGAGGGCTATGCTTGGAGTTTCTCTGCGTGATAAACTCAGAAATGAGGATATCCGCAGTAGAACCAGAGTGACTGACATAGCCCAACGGATTAGTAAGCTGAAGTGGCAATGGGCCGGCCATATAGCTCGAAGAACCGACAACCGATGGGGAAAAAAGGTTCTCGAGTGGCAGCCTCGTACCGGCAGGTGAAGTGTTGGGCGTCCCCCCACTAGATGGAGTGACGACCTGGTAAGATATGCAAGAAGTCGATGAATGCAGGTGGCTCAGGACCGTGTTTTGTGGCATTCCTTGGGGGAGGCCTATGTTCAGCAGTGGACTTGTGAAGGGCTGTAATGATGATGATGAAGATTTAAAATTCAAAATGCAGATACGTTGTCACCCCTGAGAACTAACATGGAATACCTCGTTTACAGTAAAAAGGACCTTCCGTTCTCTATTAAATTAATTCCAAACGAAACACATACACTTATTATACGCTGGTATTCTGTGATAGCATGGTCCTTCTCTAAAGTCCAGTCGCGGAACACGAAGAATTTCGTACAATGACCTCTTTACCTAGTGACAGTGGTCACAAACATTTTTGTATTTAGTGCGGTTTACATGAAATATTTGAAGAAGAAAGAAAATTTACCAACTTATGAAATATAGTTATTATTATTATATAAATTATTTATTTAGATTTTATATTACAAGTAATAAAAATCTAGACAAGTATCTACTAATTCGGCAGAAAAAAAAATCATAAATCAGAATCCGATTCCTCTGTATCGGAGTAACTGCTTTCCGAAGACGTCTCGCCTGTCACATTTATCACAAAAGAATCAACAGTTTTGTCTACATTATCATCTAGTCTAGCTAATTTCGATTCCTCTTTTTTTACGTGACTGATGCAATTTTGCCATTTTTCTGCTGAAATGTTGCCTAAAGCCTGCTGGAGCAGCTTTTTAACATCTGCCATCTTAAATGTTGTATTTTTTCGGGCCACATACCCCTTGACGTCTGCCCACACTAGTTCGATGGGGTTCAATTCGCAATGGTACGGAGGTAATCTCAATACCTCCACACCAACTGCTTTTGCCAGCTCATCGACCACGTACGATTGGTACTGAATCTTGACATCTTTCACCTTTTTCAAGAGCTGGACTTTTGTTTCCTTTGCCTCAAAAGAAATTTGCTTTGATGAAAGCCATTCTTGAATATCTATTTTTTTCCAACTAGTAACTGGGATTTTTTCCTGGCGTCTTGAGTGGTAGCTGGCATTATCCATGACAACCACTGCGTTTGGCTCAAGTCTCGGTAGCATTGCTTGAAACCAATGTTCGAACTTGGCTGCATTCATCGATTCGTGATAATCGCCTGTACCTTTGCATTCAAACACCAATTCCGATTCTGGCACGAATCCTTGTTCACCTCCTATATGTAAAATAATTAGCCGGTTGCCTTTGAAAGTAGGATTCTTGGCACCCGTCGACAAACCCTCCAAAAATGCTTGTTTTCGTGACTGCACTGTAGTGTCTTCCCACACCTTGCCAACAGTGTGCCCTGAAAAGTAAATGAATAAACTAATCAAAGGTTTCAACAATTAATAGCCGTTTAGGCGGGTAAAGGTGACAGACAGTGTTACTTTCACATTCATAATCTTAGTATAGATTTAAGTCAGTTAGAAAATAATAAATATAAGTCTTACCCGCATTCACCCAAGTTTCATCCAAGTAATATATTGGTCGTTGTTGCTGTCGGTAAGTTTTCATATTTTTCAAATATTTGATACGCCACAATGCTATGTCATCTCTGTCGATTAACCCGTTATTTCTCCTTCGTTTGACATACTTAAACTTCAAATCTTTCAGTAATTTATTCAACGATGTCAAACCCATGTTTGGTAAGGATTCGTCTGTATTTATGATATGTAGCACCTTTTTTGCTGTAGGTAACTCTCCTTTTAAATAAAAGCTGTGCACTATTCGTCTAATGCACGATTTATCGAACCCATCAATCTTTTCAATTAATGAGAGTCGTTTTTTCGGTGAAGCAGCTGGCTTGACGGTATCTGTGTCGGTATATTCTTTTAAGATACGATATATGGCCGATTTCGAAATGCCCAAGATATCGGCTGTTTTGTCCTTCATATCTTTTTTTGAAGGATATTTATCAGCAGGCCAGGATTTTTTAACGTATTTAAACACGTTAATAATCATTACCTTCTCAGATACACTAAAGTGTGACATTTTTCTTTTCTTCCGCGGAGAAACAAACTCCTTGAATGGACGCGAGGTAGACGGCTCTGGTTCCATTTTAAAAGAGTGAATAAAACTTAACAAATTAACAAAACCACTTAATAATTAAAACAAGATAACAAAAACTAACAAACAACAACAAACTAAGAATAGGTAAATAACTGTGTCCGAAAACTGAGCGATCACTAACGCATTCCAAGATTGAATCACATGAGTAAAGAAACCGACCAGAGGGGAAGCTACATACAAACGGCTCACTACGAACACACCCATACATAGCGCAGAGATGTGTGCGTGAGCTCTCACCGACAGGTTCACCGACGCTCCGTCGGGGTACAAACCGGTTTGCGCCGGCTCAGTCAGAGTGTCCATGAAAGGGCTGTTTGTTAGTCGTGCGCATTTAAATAAACCAATAATATTTCGAAATTTTATACATCAATTAATTTATTTATTCTTTTTGCAATTATAAAATCATTGGATTTAAGTATTTTAATTAAAATAATTAAGAATTCGTTATTTAAATTCGTTATTTAAACATTATTAATTACGTCAAGGTCAAGCAAACCAAGGACTTTTTGTCGTGACTCAAAGCCAACCAAAACCACATTATGCAAACAAGAACAAACCTTATAGTCTCCAGTAAAAGGTTTACAATCCCTGAGGACGGCGGCCATTGTATCTGTGCGAGCGAGACTCATTGTATTTACGCGGGAGTGACAGAGACGGGTAATGACAGTTCAATGTACGAAATTCTTCGTCCTCCGCGATTGGACTTTAAAAGATCTGTAACCACAATACAGCATAAACATGGCTCTACCACCTATAAACATAATAGCTTGCGGTTATAATAAGTTTACTGTTACTTTTGATGTAAAAAAAACCTGTTAACTTTTTTTATAGAATAAAAGTGACAATCAAGCACACAGTCCCCTTGATGGCAAATGGATGCTGTGGCCCATAGAGATCTACATTTATCCTCAATTAAGAATCAAAATGCAGATACATTGTCACCCCTGAGGCCTGAGATGGAATGCCTCGTTTCCATTAAAAAGGTTCTCCGGTTCTCTGCACTCACCATACGAAACACAGCAGCATTAAGCTGCTATTTTACGCCGGTATTCTGTGAGAGTATGGTCCTACCCCGGTCGAGCCGATCCATTCGTGCTGCAACCACAATATAGCTGCAGCATGGCTTTACCACGTAAAACTTATAAAAATATTTTTACTAATACTCAGTTTAAAATGAAACTAAAACCTCTTCTTTTTTTTTATTAAGCTTTGCCAAATCGGATGACTATTTGATGTTACAGCATTTTATTTTTGGTATTAATATAGATTTAATTAGTTATTACATTCTTCAATATTGTTTTATAGCTTCAAATAAAAACGTTTCTTTCTTTCTTTTTGTATGTATGCAATGAAATATCTACGTTCAATACTAAAATATTAGAACTAGCAAGGTAATCTTCTTGACAACTACTTATCATTTCATGGATTCACATGGTTGCTTGAGTCTTAATTGGTTTACTGTTTAAATTGGTTTCGGACAAACTTGAACTTTAGAAGGGGTTTCCATTAGTTTCACTTTGCAAATTATGCTCTCTTTAAGTAGAGTCGAGTGGAGTAGTAGCGGCATAACAGAATGCACTATTCCAAACTAATTAGTTAACTATCTATTGACGACAAACAGAAGAAAACCTTCTCATAATAATTTGAAACAGAAATTCTTCCTAATAATAATTGGAAAATAAAAAAAAACTGCGAGAGGCAAGTCAAACCGCCTATGAAAGGATGGCAATAATGAAATATATCCCCCAATATTATACAATCAATGAGGGAGGTCTATGTTCGGCAGTAGACTTTGATATGCTTATACTAATGCTAGATGTATAAATTAAAGAGTAATTTCTACAATATGATGTTAAATTAATGAGGATAAGCGCGCTCGATAATATTTCATAGTACGCGAGGAAAATAGAGTACTATCGGTACCGGTACCACTTATTGTAAAATTTTAATTTTAAGTGCTAATTAACAACGTTCCGAGAAACTAAAAGTAATGTTAAAAGTAAAAAGAAATGACAGGCACAAATAAGATGAATTTGCTCCTTGTAAAGTATGAGTATCATGTGGTAGTATTTTTTATCTGCAGCTATAATATGGCTGTGGCAGGAATATATCGGCTCGACCGGGGAAGGACTACGACTCACGGAATACCGTGAATAGCATGAAATATTAGTGTTTCTTATGGCGAGTATGGAGAACCGGAGAATTCTTTTACTGGCATTACATATTAACCCATTTGGACCCAATTACAAACTACAGGCAAAGTTTTGAAAAAATATTTATTGGCGTAACTATTGGACGCTACTTAGGTATATTATTCCAAAAAAGAAAAACTTCCTTATGAAAAAAAAACGCCGTTCTCGAATGGGGCCGATGGGTTATGTGTCGTGTTCTTTAAAACTTCCTGTTTTGCTGCACAATGTTTAAATTTACTCGTAGTTTCTACATAGCCAATGTGCTTTCATGTGACATTACATGCATGGTAGCTGGCTTTGCACTTTCTGGGGGAAGTGTCCAACGCCATCAAGACTTATACTAAGTATCATTGAAGAAGGTTTACGACGCCTTTCATCAAGTCTTTCCGTGCCTACAGTCCTCAAACAGAAACAGGTAATACTTCAGCGAAACTGAAGCTGGTCTAATTTATCTTTAGTGATCAGGACATGGATACGCTAAGCATTAGCTACAGCAAAGTGTAGCAGTAAGTGAACAGAATCCACCGCCATTTCTTGCCTCTTTCAGCTACTCAGTATATTGCGATTGACTGGTCAGCTTGATCAACTCAGCTTTCTTAACATTGCTTTTAAAACAATAGCAACATTGCAGTCTTCATCTAGAGATCAATACTATTTCTGTTCTCGTGGAAGTGAGTAATATCCAGTCAAAAGTAGAATTAATAACAGTGGTAGAGCCACGCGGCAGCTTTTGCTGTCGCATGGATGGGCCGACTCGAACCGGGGTGGTACCACGACCTCACAGAAAACCAGCGTGAAGTAGAGGTTTACCTCTGCGTTTCGCTTGGTGAGTGCAGGTGGCCGGAGGCCCTTTTTACTGGAAATGAGGCATTCCATCTTAGTCCTCACGGGTGTCAACGCATCTACATTTTGATTTGTAATAGAGGATAGATGTAGATGTCTATGGGCTGCAGCACCCACTTACCATCAGGTGGACTGTGTGCTCGTTTGTCACCCTTATCATATAAAAAAAAAGAATTCCAAAACATAATTTGAGGTCATCAACCATTATTTGGAAGTCATGGTTGTTGTGTTGTGCGGTATAATATAACTTTGTGTATATAACGGTCATGTGGAAAACCTTCACATCATTCATATTTTAGAAAATGTTGACTAATGCTGGTGCTTGAGCTTGTTTACATCGTTTTCCCTTCGATTCTGAACATTATTTACCGTTGAGGGCATGTCAATATATAAACCTTCACACTTACGCCAAAGTGGATTCACGTATCCCATTTATCGTTGTTCCTGAATTCAAACACTTCATCTCTACCTGGAATATCACGCGGAAGAATTTTTGCTGGACATCATCTTTATAACCTTCTTCTTCACCCGTGAGTGAGTGGCCCAGCGTAAATGGGTTAATCCTCAAGGATGAAAACGCATCCGCATTTTGATTTCTCATCGAGGATACCATTTTCACGACAATGAGATGAGAACCCAACCGTGACTTAACAAATTACAAACATTTACATGGCTTTAAGCGTTAGGTTGACTCCCGACATTGCATAATATTCCGGTCGGATGCGGACATGCCTGCACCGGTACTGGAAGGAGTCTAACTTTCATCAGCGTTTTTTTTTATAAACTTTTAGTGACAAACGAACTTACAGTTCCAAGGCACGTCCGTAGCAGTGCGTCGGTTCCGTCGCGAGTCAGTAATTTCGAAGATGCGACGCGAGCTCCGGTCATATCTTGTTAATTAGACTGACAGATGAACGCGTAAAGTGGAGATTTCTTGTTTGGGTACTATGTAAAATGCAGTGGAGAAATGATCATTTTTTTATTCTTGGAGGCGACGTTATGAAATTATAAATTTATTTATTTCAATATCACAAGGGTTGCAGCTTCAGGGATACATTCGTTTTTACTTGGCATTTTGATTTTACAAAAAGGATTCGAATCTCGAACTTGCACAGACCAACACGCAATGTTAGAAGAGTTTCGATGCAGTGAGTCGGTATGTGGCCATCAGCAGTCCGTATTATTGTCCGCACCGTCACGTACCATGTGAAGCCACACTTTATATCTCCCTCCCAGAAAAATAAGTATTGTGACAACGTTTTCACGCCACAAAAGCGTAAGCGAACCGAATAACTCATTAATAACGCCATTGAAGTTTCTGTAGGACTCTGCATGTCTATATCTATTTATATATAAACAATATTAAAGTGTATGTCTGAAAATCGAAATAACTGTCTCATATTGAGTTGAGGGCGTTATTTGTATGCTATTAAGGAATCAATAACCAATTTCAAAAAGTTTGTTTGATTTGTCCGTCTGTATGTCGGGGCTAATATTTTGAATAACTGGACTAATTGTTTTTTACGTGGTAGAGCCATGCTGCAGCTACATTAGTAGTATAGCTGCTCGTATACTATGTCTGCTCGTATAATATGCAGCGTAAAATAGCAGCGTAACGCTCCTGTGTTTCGTATGGTGAGTGTAGAGAACCGGAGACCCCTTTTACTGGAAACGAGGCATTCCATCTTGATTCTCACGCCTGACAACGCATCTGCATTTTAATTCGAATACGAAGATAGATGTAGATGTATATGGGCCATAGCAACCACTTACCATTAGGTGGACTGTGTGCTCGTTTATCACACTTATTTTATTAAATAAAAACTAATTGTAATAAAACTAAACGAAGAGATAAATAGCAGTGCCAGGACTGATCTAGGTTTTATTTCATACGAAGAACTTGGAGAAGTGTTTATGGAAAAACGTAAAACTGATAAAATAAATGGTTTTTAATTATCTTAAATCCAAATGAAGTCTATAGATATTACCCCGACGAAGCCACTAGTATAAAATAACCTCCGTACACGTACAGGGGAGGCACCGCTCCCTTGGCTAAACACCTAGCCCGGTGGGAGATCTCCCCTTTTACTTTGACAGCCAAAGTGTGATATAATATTAAGGAAATTCAATTAAAAGTTGCGAAAAAAGATTATCATTGTGCTAACTCATCTTATTTTTAAAGTATCATGACCTCCCAACTTTCAAGAGTATTCAATTAAAATTAATGGGCAAGCGGACGTATCTCCCGAATTACAATACCCCTCGTGATAAGGAGCTACTTTTAACTTAGGTAAAGTGCCATGACAAACTGGAAATTTTTTTTAAATAAAATTACCACTTTTAACATTTGTTACTAAGCTGTGTAAATCTTTTTTTTTTTTTTTTGCGAATGACGTTTTAAGAAGGGGTGGAGAGTTCATGTTGGCATTAATTAAATTGTATGAAGTACTGATTTACCACGTGGCCGACGGTGAAGGAAACATTGTAAGGAGTTCAGCATTTCTTTTCACTTTTTCTTTCTTTCTTTCGCATCTACCACGGGGAGTGCTCTGAGGAATTGTTCGGATTAATGCCAGCCGCCAAATTTCACGAACGCACATCGCGGCAGAACTCCCGATACCATCCACACCATCCGGATGATTGGCGGTTCACCACTTTGCAATTTAGAAGATGTTTTCTTGGCAGCGGTAGTCACTTACCATCAGGTGAGCTGCATACTCGTTTGCCCCCTCCCCTATAAAAAAAAATTATGGAGATAAAAACTCAGGGCATTTAAGTACATCACTGCGGATTGGTAGGCGCGGCAGACTGATTGCCAGCAGTTAGAATTCATTGTCATCATCATCATCATTACAGCCTCCCAAAGTCCACTGCTTAACATAAACATTCCCTATTGAATTCCTCTTAGTGGGGATATTTGCCATAGTTGACATGGCGGTCGGGTTGGTAATCATTTTTCATTTGTTATCAGGAAGATGCTACTGTCCATCTTCTGTTTCAGTTTTCTTCTGTCGTCTCTTGCGACATCCACTGAATGATATGTAGTGGATATTATTAAGCCGTCACTATATGGCTATTCAAATTGAAAAACAAAATTCTCCGTTACTCTCTCAGAAATAAGAACTCTGCGCCCAGCATTGGAACGTATGTAAGTTCATACGTGGTAGAGCCATGCTGCAGCTATATAAGCAGTATAGTTGTAGCAAGAAGGGGTCGGCTCGACCGGGGAAGGACCACGCTCTCACAGACAGAGACCAGCGTCAAATGGCGGCTTAACGCTGCTGTGTTGAGAATCAATTTAGATGTGCGAGTATATGGGCCATAGCGTCCGATTTCCATCAGGTGAGCTGTGAGCTCGTTTGTCACACGTATTCTTTAAAAAAGAATAGGTATTTCAAGGAAATATTTTTGATAATTTAATCACAGAATACCAGCGTAAAATAGCAGTTTTACGCTGCTGTGTTTCGTATGGTGAGTGTAGAGAACCGAACACCCTTTTTACTGGAAACGAGGCATTCCATCTTAGTCCTCACGGGTGGCAACGAATTTGCATTTTGATTCGCAACGAGGAAAAATGTAGATGTCTATGGGCCACAACACCCACTTACCATCAGATGAACTGTGTGCTCGTTTGTCACCCTGCCTATGAACAACTGCAACACTAGGGGACGTTGTCGGCATTTTAAAATAAAGTAAGCTCGAAGGTTGCTTGCAAGTTCCTAAGCCGTATCGTTCAGGAAAAATCGCGGGTGGTAAACAATTCCACAAATTAGTAATGTGAGTAAAAATATTTATAATAATTAATAATAAATTAATGAACAGTAATCTGCAGGATATCGTCTATGAGTTGCTAATTATAAGAGCGCACCTGCTGAAAACTTATATTGGATATGTCAAAGAAATTTAAAAAAAATCAAGGAAGGGTTAACACTTCCTTGATTTTTTACACGGAACGGGACAGAGCAGAACCTCTTTCCTTCCTCCAAGAGTGATAAGTGAAAAATGATAAGACCTACGATTAGTTGCGTAACAAATTGAAAAAAAAATCAAGGAGGTCGTCACGTAACGGAACAGTGCATAAAGTCTTTCTAGCCCCACAAGAGATAAGACCTACGTCCAGCTGCATGATGTGTGTTCACCTAAGATGTTGATTTTGAAGTTAATGAATTTAATTTGATTCACCACGTGCTCGGCAATGAGTGAAATATTGCAATACCTGTATATCTGAGGAATAAATATTTCAAGGACACGTGAAGTCCGCCAACAAAGAATAGTTTTTTCACAACCGTTTCAAAACGAGAGTGCGAGTACCCAGAAGTGGATCGTATACTTACCAAGACTCTAACTTTACTTTTTCTTTATTTTATCCGACATCAAAAATGGAGGTGTTTCTCAATTAAACCGTATTTTCAGTTTTGTATGTGTTTGAATTTTATACGTGTTAGAGTTGTGCTGCAGCCATATTATGGATGTAGCACGCTCTCACAGAACACCAGTGTAAAATAGCAACTCAATGCTGGTGTGTTTTGTATGTTGATTGTAGAGAACCGGAGACCCTTTTTACTGGAAACGAGGGATTCCATCTTAGTTCTCAGTAGGGATAACGCATGTGTATTTTGATTTTTAATCGAGGAGAGAATAAAATAAACAACTTGTTTGGATAACTCACGACTTTATTTACATAATATAGTAATCTGTAACATTTAATAAGTGTATCTTATAACTAGTCCACAAAGGAACGAGCAACGCCCGGTGAAGCTCGACTCGGAAATTGACATGTACATAAATAGATGGGGCCGAGTAACATTTATTGCATATTAAACTCCATGTGAACAAACATATTGACTATTATTATCTATCACAACATTAAGTTTACTTAGACATTACAGATGTAGGCGGGAAGGCGCCAGAGCTGATTGTCATAAGGTCGTATGCGCCAGCGATGCGCAGGCGCAGACAAATGTGAGCACAACGTCGCACAACGTCTTGAAACCTGTAAAAAATTTATGTTAGTGATAATTTCGAGAATAATATTAAATATTTCTGAACCGTTTGCGCGGCATTCCTTGAGAGAAGGCAGTAGGTTTAATGAGCAAAGTGCTATAATGGTGATGTATATCATTGGAATATTTTTAATGTAACCGCAAAATTGTAACAAAATATTGCGTGTATCGAACGATCAGAGGAGTAACCGCATTCTTTTCTTTACTAAAAATCGAGTATTGGATATTCGTTTTCAAGGGTGCGTTACGTTAATTTCATTATATAAGTTTAAACATTTTGATCTAGGATATATATTTTTTATAGCAAAGGGGGCAACCGAGCATGCGACAGTCCTGATGGTAAGTGACTACCCCCGCCCATAAACAACTGCAACACCCATGAATAACCGCAACACCAGGCGAATTGGAGATGCGTTGCCGGCCTTTTAAAAAAGAGAAGGGTCTTTTCTTGAAGGTCCCTTAGCCGTATCGGTCCGGAAAAATCTTTGGTGGCATTCAATTCCACAAGGAAGCTGTGCGAGGAAGAAAATTTCTTCTAAATTGCACAGTAGTGGACCACCAATCACCTAGATGGTATGGATAGTATCGGAAGTTTTGTCGCGATGTGCGATGGTGAAATTGAACGGCTGGAATTAGTCCGAACAATTCCTCAGAGCACTCCCCGTGGATAATATACCCTTATTATCGGGGACAGTCCATCTCAGCCCTGCTGTACTCGTCAGTCATTCTTTCTTGTTTACATAATTGCACCCACCATCCATAATAGGCTTTAAAAATCCACTGCTGAACATAAGTTTCCACCATAGATTGCCTCATAGGGGCGATGTTGCCATAGGCAACGGCAGTTTTTAATAATTTCAGTTGTTATCAAGAAGATGCTGCTGTCCATCTCTTGGTTTAATTGCCCTCCGTCAACTCTTACGACACCCATGGGACGATATCGGTTAGTCGATATTCTTACACCGCCACTATACGGTAAGAAATAATTGCAATATCTCATAATTAACATATATGTATCTGTTTCTATAGTTAATTTATAACAACAATAAATGAAAGCAATTGATTATTGAAATGTAATTACCGGATGAATCCTCTCCAGTCACGGAGGCGGGGCGAGGGCTGTCCTCCTTGACATGAACCAGATCGCTTGACCTCGCGTAGATGTCGTAAATAGTTGCGACGCAACTTATTGCAAATTGTCCACTCGGTGGAGGGGTCATAGTAAACCTATAATAACTAATTATTTATATATACGATAAAATACATAATCAATGTTTCAAAAAGTATTTTATACGTTGTAGAGCCAGGTTCGCGTTCTACTGTGCAAATGTACTTTCGTAAAATAGCTGGTTAATGCTGCTGTATTTCGTATGACGAATGTAGAAAATCGTAGAATTGGAAACGAGGTATTCCATCTGAGTCCTCAGGGGTAACAACGCATCTGCATTTTGATACTTAGTTGAGGATAGTTGTAGTTGTCTATGGGCCACAGTGTCCCCTTACCAGCAGGTGGACTGTGTGCTCGTTCGTTACGCTTATTCGTTTTATAAAAAAACATGTGTGAGTGTTGTGGAACACTCCGTTGGAACGAAGTTCCTTTCATAGTATATTATTATTGATAAACGTATTACATTATTGATTAACAAATATAAATTAATTAATTATTAGCGTCTAATAAAATGAAGCGTCATTTAAAATAAAATACAATATGACAAAAAGGGTAGTGACGAAAAATTCTTATACTTTTTGTCGCCTAGCTCCTATCCGCGAAACCTGTACCGTCCGATAAGGAACTTCGTTCCAATAAATATAATAAAATAAATAGTATTAGTTAAGGAAACTTTCATTCTTTTATTTATAACTAAGATTAAATTTTATGTTTATTATTAGGTAGTAAGACTCTTGTACCTACTACTTAGAAGTCTGGGTAGGAGCCACTCTCTTACCTATTGTCAATCAGTAGTGTGCGCTCCGCTGTTTTGTGGTTCAAGAGGTATAGAGGGCCAGTATAATTTAAATATTTGAGGCACTCCATATTAGTCCTCAGAGGTGACAACGCTGCTGTAGTTCGCTTTGTTTGGAGCTGGTGCAGGTTTCCATGCGCTGCTGTAACCACTTACCATCAGGTGGACTCGTTCATCATAGTTTGTTACTTCAGTTTTATCATTAAAAAATAATCAAAAACTGCAAATAGAACTAGGAATAAATACAAAATATTATTCATTGCATTCAAAAAAATGTTTAATCTAAACGTCGTTTACGGAGTTTTAGTTTGAAATTAAATTGTATTTTAAAGTTTATCGGCTAGTTCACGTAAAATATTGGATGAAAATCATTTTATATCTTTCGCTATTGTTCAATCTTTAGAAGTTTGAAAAGTCAGCTCAGAATGCAGTGAATGCTCCAAAGGCATTACAGTTAGATTCTTTAGCGACGTGAATTCAGTTTGAAAAGGGAATAAACTCTAGTCGAAAGATTATAGAATATGTCAAAGTGTCAGATTAGCATGAAAGATTGTTACTTAGAGCATTTAACAAAACAGGAGTTAAGTCGTTATGGGGCTGTGAGAATAACAAATGAATATTATAAATAAAAAGTGGTAAAATTATAAATTTTGTACAACCGCCTTCAATATAAATTAATAAGGACAATTCAAAAACTACTGATCAGACCTTGATCAAATTTATATGGGACCACATAAGAAGCACCAGCTATCAAATTAAAAAAGAAACATCTAAATGAACCGAATTCTCTAAGAAATTTCTTCTGAAGAAAAGTAATGAGGTAACACGTAAAAAATATACATTCGAATTAAGTACCTCCTCATTTTTGAATTCAGAGAAAAATGAACCCAATTGTAATTTAATCAGCGTTACAATCGTACGTAGCCTTCATTTAAAAAAAAATATCTCTTTAAAAAATATAGTTTTAATATTTGTCGCATTTACCCATAATGTATTTCCATAAAAAAATAACTTTAAAAAATAACCAAAAGGAACTAATCTAGCTGTTTCAACATTGGCGAGACTTCAAATTTTTTTTTACGGTAAATGCCGATGAACTCGGTGAGACCACGTGCTAATTTATATATGCTCGTATTATTATGACACGCGCACTCGCGCTATCAGACTATTTAACCTAATAATAATAATAATAAGATTCTTTATTAAAAAACTTATATAGGTTACAAACAAATATAATACACGAGGAAAAATATATTCATATTATTCTCAGAGAGAATTCAAAAGCTTGCATGCTTTATAATATGTATCAGAAACTAAAATAGCATATTATAATGCTAACAATTGTGTATAGGCTAAAAAAACATGTAACAAGTACTTTTTAAGTAACAAAAATGCGTGAGAACGAAGTTCCTTGCGTAGTATATAATTATTGATAAACGTAGGTATTATATTATTGATTAACAAATACAAATAAATGAATTACTAGCGTCTATTAAAATGAAGCGTCATTTGAAATAAAATAATATTTCTTTCATGGCAAGATAACAAAAAGTGCGAGGGAGATTGATATTATTCCATCTCACATCCTTATTTCGCCGCCAAGGCCGACTATACTATGACACAAGGGGTAGTGACGAAAAAATCTTACACTTTTTGTCGCCTAGCTCCCATCCGCCAAAACCGTCCCGTCCGCAAAGGAACTTCGTTCCAAAATTACTGTACAAGTTTGGCTGAATAAATCAATAAATATAAATGGAGGCCCCATTGAAGATCATGTTAATATTCTAAGAAAAACAGACATCCACTTGACTTAATTCCCAGCCATTAAAATATTTTAACGTTATATATTATAAATGTTACTTCTTGTATAATTTAAAAGTAAACTGTAGGCGTTAAATCAATGTAGTAACTTCGATTGAGCATTGTTCAAATCGTCATAATTTAATGCTTTTGGCTTTTCAAATTGCTGTTGAAGTTTCAAAATTAATGAGATGTCATCAGTAAAATAATATTATATCGTGGTTGCCCCTACAAGATAAATTAGGTCATCAATATAGATGAAAACAGGAATGAACACCCTTTGATACAACTGATCCGGAGAAACTCTTATAATTAATAACCACTTCTTTAGTTACATTACAGAAATGTGAAAAATAAGTCGAAGCGTAATAATATTTTTACATGATAATGACAGAAAACTAGATACATATTTTCTGGTAAAATGTCTCGTAAAAAACAAAGTTAAAGGTTTTCAAAATATCACAAAAATACTAAGGCACCATGTATTTTCCACAGACATTAAAATATATTTAATAAGTTCAAAGCCAATTCTGCTTTTCTTTAAGTAACTTACTTACTTGTTTTAAAAAAGACATAAGCTCAAAACCAATTCCATTTTTTTAAGTAATTTATATGGTTTTAAAAAACACTTAACATTCGCTGCAAAATAATTTTAAGTGCTTGCAGTGCAGAAATAGTTCTAAAATTAGCGATTTCCAATGTTCTAACATATTAAAATATAGATAATACATAATAGGTTACTGTTTTTCATTAAACGTATTAAAAATTTCAGTCCGGAACCGGTTTTTATACGTGGTACAGTCGCGCTGCAAATATTTTATGCTTGTGACACGGACGGTTCCGCGATAGCATAAAATAGAAGCTTAACGCTGCTGTTTCGCAAGGTGAGTGTAGATAGCAGGTGACCTTTTATAGCGGATATGAGGCATTCCATTTTAGTCCTCAAGGGTGACAAATTATCTCCATTTTGATTCTTAATCGAGAATAGATGTAGATGTCATGTGTCAGTAAAGATACAGTCTATATTCAAACCACTGCTAGCAGTGGCTTGAGTAATGACTGTGACAATAAGAGGAGACCTGTGCCTATGCAGAGGTCTCTTCGATTAAGAATCAAACGACAGATGCGTTATTACCACTGGATTAAGACGGAATGCCTTGTTGCCAATAAAAAAGATATCCAGTTACATCACCATACAAAACATAGCAGAATTAAGCTGGTATTTCACGCTGGTATGCTGTGAGAGCATGGTCTTTCTTACCCCGGTCAAGCCAACCCATTCGTGCTACAATAATTTCAGTCATTTCACATTTCATTCCGCGAACTTACATTGGGGCCTCTGCCCTGAAGTTTGCGGACTTCACATCTCTTCACTTTTTTTGTTTCTCATACATACAGTTTTTCTTCACCGCTGAACACCGAACACGGGGTAAATCACTTAAAGTTGTTATTAACATTTTTATTGCTACCAATGGGTCGATTCCCATGTATAGAGATACAGCGCGAGCGCGTACAAAGTCCCATTTAAAATATAAACTCTTCTTATTATAATAAATAATTTGTAAATTCCCCATTTATATTTGTAGTTTCTTTCTAAATCCTATTACTTATAAGAAAAATGCGCTTTTTCTTACCTCAAAACTTCATGCTTCGTTGAATCTGTCTCAATATTGCGGCTGAAGTGGTTTTTGTAATAGCTTGGACTATCTTGACTATAAGTGTGCTCGAGCTTGTAATGGTCAGTCTCGAGGATCGTTATTTCCAGCTGACTGAACGCACTGCGTTCTTTGAAATCCTGTTCCGACGTCTGCCAGGAAATCGTTTCTGCTATCTGTTAGGACATTTTTATTTTAGTTTATATTCATATTTTATATTACTTAAACTCACTCATTCAAAGACGGCTCCGTGGCGCAGTGGCTTAGCTAAGTTGTAGCGCTAAGCGCAGCGGGTTCGTATTCCGCACGGAACAATAATTTATTTCTCTTACAAATAATTATTCCTGATCTGGATATTTGTCTTTTTGAAATTTATGTACGTATACTGCCCCCACAATATAGGAGAAGAATATAATCTAATCGAATTTTTTAATACACACATACAATGAAGTCTCGAGTTAAAAATCTGGGTTGGGCTATAATTAATTATTGGGTATATCTGTCCAGAAATTCACAGTGGCAGTTCGGGGTCAGGAAAATTACGGTGCTTCACCCCCGTGCCTCGGAAAGCACGTAAAGCCGTTGGGTGTGTACCTGATCTCTCTCACGGTCTTGTCAGTTTACCAGTACATTGGAATATGAAAGTGATGGAATAGATAGTGTATTTGTTCTTGCGTATACACTTGGGCACAATAACAGAATTGTATATCAGATGATCAGATGGCTAGTCTCTGATTGAGGTTGGCCGCCTTGGTCAAGCACTGGTTTAAAATAAGTAAAAATATAGAAGGACTTCGATTATAATACGATTATTCATATTAGAACTGTCTCGTTAGTAGCGCGACGTTTACAACTACTAGACCAACCAGACAGTTCTAATATGAATAATGGGGCTGATCACGGGGTCTTGGGTTCGAATCTCGGGTTACGCTGAAATCAACTAATGGATTTTTCTGACAAGAAATTCTTAGTAGAAGTCCGGAGTCGGGAAGGTGGTATTTCACACCAGTGCTTCGGGCCGTTGGACCTGATTCTGATATCCCTCCGGTCGTGTCGGATAACAGTCCCATCGGGCTATGAGAGTGAGTAAATAGGGAGTGCACCTGTGCTTGCCCACACGCTCGGGCACTATAATCCTTGCGCAAATGGCTGTGACTGCCCACCGTTAACTAAATTCAGTCTGGAGGATATTTTAAATTACTTTAATTTACTTAACCGTGACCTGTGGGTTTGCGTTACTTTCGGAAAATACCAGCAAAAAATCTTATAACTTTTGATAAATGGCGGTAAGATCATCTAGTTTATATAAGGCGTAAAATATCCAGACCTGGGGCGGGGCAGCACTGTCAAATATGCGATCCATCTATCACAGCCCATAATAGTCCACTTCTGAACATAGGCCTCACCCATAGATTGTCTTTTCTTCATTCATTACAGCCCTTCACAAGTCCACTGCTGAACATAGGCCTCCCTCAAGGAATGCCACAAAGCACGGTCTTGAGCCACTTGCAGACTTCCTGCATATCTTACCAGGTCGTCACGGGGGGCCGCACACACATCGCCTCCCAGTACGAGGCTGCCACTCGAGAACCTTGCTTCCCCATCGGTTCTCGGTTTTTCGAGTTATATGACCGGCCCATTGCCAATTCGGCCTACTAATCCGTTGGGCTATGTCGGTTACTTCGATTCTACTGGGGATATTTCCGTCATTTCCAAGTTTATCACACAGAGAAACTTTGAGCATAGCCCTCTCCATAGTTCGCTGAACGACCTTGAGCTTCCTCATAATATGATCAGCAATAAAGGATCACGTCTCAGATCCGTAAGTCAACACTATCAACACGCACTGGTTGCACAATCTTGTTTTCAAGTTTTTAGGTATACCTGACACGAAAAAGTATCGTAATCTTCCGAACGTTGCCCAGACGAGTTAAATACGTCGATTGACCTTTCAGGCAAGTTGGACTTACCGAGTTGTTCCTAATAAACATACTCGGCAACAACTTCGAGCTTAGTGCTACTCTCTGCAGTTGTATAGGTTTCGTACTCAGTTTCTGTACTCTTGTACGCGTGCGTTATATGTTGCCAGGTCGAGTCGTCTCCGATGAAGGTTAGGTGGCAACCGAACCTCCACCGGATTTTCTTAATACCCCCTGCCCCGCCGTTACCATGGTCGCTATCGTATCCAAGGATAGCGGGGCCGCTGGGGACTGGCGGTCATCTCTTTCTCACACTCGCCAGGGGGGGTAGGTATATTGCCATAGTTCCCATGCTTGGCGAGCGGGGTGGCAACCGCAGTTTTTTTATTGTTATTTTGCTGTTATCAAAAAGACGCTGCTGATCTTCTGCCTTAGTTTCCCTCTGTCGCCTCTTCCGACGCCCATTTGAAGATGTGGGTTAGTGGGTATTCTTTCCCACCACTACATGAAGTAGATTGCCTTATAGTGGAATCCTGCCATAACTTGACGCTTGACAAACGGGTTAGAAACCACAGTTTTTATTAATTTTAGTCGTTATTAGGAAGACGCTGCTGTCCATTTCCTGTTTTAGTTTCCCTCTATCGCCTCTTACGACACTCACGGGACAACATGGCGCAGTGGATATTTATACACCGTCACTACATGGCATTGTTGCCATACGTCTGATATACGATCGTCCAATTGAAAACGTGACGATTAAGACAAATCCTCAATATATAAGAAAGAGACCAATGTCTATCAGTGGGCATAAATGTAGATGGAAAATAATATTAGTGAAGTATATGGAATTTTTGAGCATTTTATTTTGATGTCTCCTCGAATACCATTTACATAACATCACGTCTATAACTCCAAGGAAGTAGGTACAATCTTTAGCTTTTTAGAGCAGCGAGATACTCGCACTACACAAAAATATGGGTTCAGATGGAAAATTAGTGATGTGTTGTTAACCCATCGAACAATCACAAACCTAATATCCTATTAGTCACATTGTACGACATACTAGTCAAGAAACACAATTAGCACATTATTTTTGTTATAAGCCCCACACAAAGAAGACAAACCCAGATAAACATAGGACACATTTTTCTACGAATAGCGTAAAGGCCAATTGACGAAACTGAAAGAGCTGTGCAAGCTTAGACGCAAAGTCCTTTAGCTAGCAAGGCAATTGTTAAATGTAATAAAGAAAAACTTCTTGAAGAAGCCTGTCTATAGAATAAATAAATTATTATTTCGAGGACATGTGAAGTCCAACAAAAGGTATTAGGGCGGCGCGGCACTCTCTTTTCACTCCAATGCACCTCAATAACGAGAGGAGACATTGTGCACTTTATTCGGGCGTATTTACTTTGATGTACTTTGACTGTCTCATTGGACTAGTGGTCGTAAACTGCTGATTATGATGTCCCGGGTTTGATTGCTGGGTCGGGCCAAAAAATTAGTGATTGGATTTCTCTGTCAAGAAACACTCAGTATCAGCCCGGAGTAAAATAGTTAGCGCTATTATTTTTGTTATTGAAGTCGTTCGTCCTGCGCCTGATTTCTCTCCGTTCGTGTTGGGTTTCCATTCCATTTAACTACGAGAGTGGGGGAATAAAAAGTGCACCTATGTTGTGCGCAACATACTGGAGCGTGACCGAAATTCGGTGTAGAGGTCATAATAATTATTATATTGTACTACTATGACACTAGACATAATTAAAATTTATTACTTTAAAAACACGTTGAAATCAGCCTCTGCTGTGGGGTTATATGCTATAATTGCCACGTATGGCAGGCATTGGCGATCTGTACCAGATGTCTATCACCTTCGAAATTGCACCCTAAATATTTAGACCTGGCATAAATGTAAGGATTCTACTGCCTACTTTCGGATGCCATGACAATTTATATAAAAATATTATAAATATTAACGATGAAGGCGACTCTGAAAAAAGAAAATGAACAAGTGACCCACTGGATGAAAGTTTACCGTGTAACGTGATGTAAGAAATTCTACTACTCCATTTCATCCCGTGGATTTCCTAAGAGGCGGCAGTGGCGAAAAAATCGAAAGAGCAGCAGCGTCATCCTAAAACGATTAAAAATAAAAAAAACTCTTAAGCTCCAGCCTCTTAAAATCCACTGCTTAACAAAGGCCTCACTTATTACCTCGTGGGATGGATATTTGCCATAGCTTTCACGCTTGACAAGTGGGTTTGCAACTGCAGTTTTTTATTAAACCCACGGGATGAAATGGGGTCGCAGATATTCTTACACCACCACTATGCGGTGTTATCATAATTAATAAAAATCAGTTGCGGAGTTTCCCACGGGCAAATGATTCCCACCACAGTTAAAAGTCACTCTATTATAATTATCCCATAGAACTTCTAAACTCGTTCCAAAACATAAAATATATTTAGTTAATTTTTTGCATGATTGAATAAAATAATAATTACCTTATGTCCATCAATCGTCCATGTAATGTTCGGAGCTGGGTAGGCCTCGTCGACGGAGCAGTTTGCATGAAGAACATCGTTTCGCTCGTAAATAAGCCGGGATATTTGCAGGCGTGGCGCTCGAAATGGTGGATCTACAATAATTACAAATATTTTAAACATTTACGGTTATTTGGTAGAAGGCTTTTTGAAATAACTACCTTTTTCTCATTTCTTATCAAACTATATCTCTTATTTTTTACGTAACTATATTAATCATAACTATACTTTTACCGTTACAGCCTATTAGAAGCCCACTGCTAAACATAGGCTCCCATGATTCACAGGGGAAATATTTACCGTAGTTGCTGCACTTGACGGGTTGACAACATCAGTTTTTATTTTTTAGTAGTAATCAGATCAGCTGCTTCTTATCTCCTGGTTAATTTCCCTCTGTTGCCTCCTGCGGGATCCACGGTATGATATAGGGTATTGGATATTCTTACACCACCACTACACAGTAATTTTCCCAGTCAGCTATAATCAACTATTTATTACTTTATCTATTTAATATATCTTTAAAGATTATTTATAAAAAATAAACATCTTATGGAATATCTCGTAGCATACCAAATTTTTTATATTGCATGTAATTGCCGTAGTTGTGTAGTGACGGCGTAAGACAACCCACTATTCCATATTATGCTGAGACTGTAGTAAGAGGCCACAGAAGGAAACTGAAAGAGGAGATCTGCCAAAGCATTATCTTTATAACAACTGAAAATAATAAAAAACTGCGACTGCCAATCCGCCTTTCGAAAGTGGCAACTATGATAAACATATACATATGAAGCATTCTATGCAGGAGACTTTTGCTATACATTGAATTTTGATTGGTTGTACGTACTTAATGATTTTTGTTTGTTATGGGAAGGGGGAATTACATAATATTTTAGTACTAACCGTTAGTAAAAAAATTCAACTAAATTGCGTAAGAAAATTCAAAAATAAATACTACGAGTATTTATTTTTTAAATTTTCTTACGCAATTTAGTTGAATTTTTTTTAAAATTTTTATTAACAGATTCTCACGTTGCAAATGTACATAATATTAAAGGAACATAAAACTAATATCAAGTAATAATTAATATCAAGTTCAAATGCAGATGGCGGTGCTACGCGATACCGCCCGCATCATTCGCCGGTTTCTTGCTCTTTCCCCTTAGCCCTGAACAGTTTGTCTCTGCAGAGCGTTGCCTTTTAATTGCCTTTTTTTTTACTTTAAAATTATATAACATATTACGTTCAACATAATTATATTTTATATTATGTATCTATGTACCAGAGAATACTTTTTAAATAAATGAACATCACTATGCATTATTGATACAGATAAAACATCTATAACATACCATTTGTACACTGTAGGTACTAAACCTTGTGTTATTTATGAAATTTACATAAACAAATTTCAAAATTATTTGATTATTTTACAAGTACTCGTAGAGCATTGGTAGGATCGTCCTTTGTGGCATTCTTTGAGAAAAGGGCTATGTTGAGCAGTATACTGTGATAGGCTATAATTTGTTATGTATAACCAGTCAGTGCTTAGCTACTATCCCACCTGATGATAAGATGTGGTGCATTCGAAGATGATACAGCGCAACGATTTAACTTAAGATACGAGTAGTTTAAAATTAAAATTTTTTTGCAACCAACTTCTACATAAATTATTAAGGATAACTCAAAAACTATTGGTCAGACTTGATCAAGTTTATATGAGACCATATGTGAAATCCCAGCTTTCAAATAAAAAAAGAATCATCGAAATCGGTTCACCCAGAAAGAAGTTATGTGGTACACATAAAAAAACATCTAGTCGAATTGAGAACGTCCTCCTGTTTAACCTCCTGTTTTCCGCCTTGAAGACATTGTAACCGGATAGAAAGAAAATTGCTGGCAAATTGGACCATTCCTATGCTGTACGCATTATAAACGACGAAGCAAACCATTTAGTGAGAATGCGTGGTGTATCGACGACTAAAGGGTGAAGATTAGCCGAGCATTTGGTGATGCGATGATGGAAAGAAGAGAAAGAATTATGTCATGCATCTCTTGCACACACTCTTCGAAATGCATCCTAATAAACCGAAAGCCTGAATATCTGAAATTTTAATATTCCACGCCACCATAATAATCCTCTCATCACGCCCTGTAATGATGATGATGATGATAATGATGATAAAAAGCGTCTAAGGAACATAAAATCTTTTCATTTAAGACATTGTCACGTCACAATATTTTTGTTCTCAACTGGTATTTTCATCTCCTTCCATCATCATCATAACAGACTTTCACTAGTCCACTGCTGAACATAGGACTACGCCAAGGAATACCACAATGATAGCCAACCAAATGTAGTGATAACCTGGTAAGACGTCAAGATATAAAACCATGCATACCTACGACAGTAAGCGGGGCCGATCGTATATCAGTATGGAAGAGTGGTGCATCAGCTGACACTTCGCACTGGTAGTCACCGCTGAGTCTTCGGTTCATGTTTACTATACGCACTTGCTGGTGATCCGATTGCGCTAACTGGTGACAGGAAAGTTCGTTGATTCATATTTTTATATAGAATAAGGGTGACAAAAGAGCACACAGTTCACCTGTTAGTAAGTGGTTGCTATAGGCCTCTACATTTATCCTGTCCATATACATCTACATTTATCCTCAATTAAGAATCAAAATGCACATGCGTTGTTACCCCGTGGACTATAATGGAATACCTAGTTTCCAGTAAAAAAGGGTCTACGGTTTAGTTAGTCTCTACACTTACCATACTAAACAAGCTTTAAACTGGTATTCTGTGAGAGCATGGTGGTTTCCCGGTCGAGTTAACCTATTGTTATGCAACAACCATAATACAGCTGCAAAACGGCACTACCACTATAAAACCTTTGACTTATATCCGATTCTCAACTACGATCCGTTTATATATGGAGTGCATGAAAATATTTTTTATTAAAAAATCGTTCAGATAATTTGCCCGCTCCGTAGCAAAGTTGTGAAGTATTTATTTGTGGTGCTGCAAGGCAGCGGTTTCGAATACCATACAGGAAAAGTGTTTGTATGGCCTACAGATAATTACACTGGGTCTGGATGTGTGTCATTGTACAATTTATGTATGTAAGTCACCTCAAAGTTACAGGAGAAATCTCACTGTGGTGGTAAAATTTTTATAAATTATTTTTAAATAAAAAAATTAATTCGTTATGTAATATTTTGTTTAAAAAATAATTATTTACATGTGTACACTTTCGGTTCTGTAATTAAATACAGAAATTAATTAGGCAATTAGCTTAATACCTGATAATATTATTTTTTGTTACTTGCAATATCAAGTGCGGATTTACTACATGCTTATTGAAGAAGTGAAACATCGCAAAGAAACTGAAAATTATCACGCGAATATGTAATTACGGCGAACACAACTTAAGGGTTCTTTTTCCTACTTTAAAATGCTTCTGTTAGCTTATATCTCGTATAGTTATTTTTATACCCTCTATGCTTACATCAACGGAAGCTCCAGGCAAAGGGAACACCATGCTCGGTGGCATTTCCCTCGGCACATAACGGTAAAATTCATCTTCAGCTCTGTACCAGCGTATAGAGTACAGAGCCGCACCTTCTAGGTCATACGAACATCTCAGTAACGCTGACTGTCCTTCTCCGGATAAAACAGCACGTGGAACGGAGATGGAGAGGTTGCGTAGTGACCAAACACCTCCTGTAAACAAAAGCAAATTGTGAGGTAAGTATAAGAGAAAGTGAGGGTGATAAGCCCCTTTCACATTCTTCCGCATGCACCTTTGCTAATCTATACAAATAAATAAAATTGAAATGTCTGTTTATAATGCCTAAATAACCGCTTTTTACTACATGTATAATTAAAATATATACGGCACTTATAACAAAAAACAATTTATGAAATCTTTGTCTATTTGTTCCAGTCAATTTCTGAAATGGCTGAACCGATTTTGACGGGATTTTCCTGGCAGATAGCTGATATAATAAGAAGTTACTTTTACTGTATAAAAAGAACTAATTAGGAAAAAAAATATTAAAACACGTGAAACCCAATAGTAACAAATTTCACGCGGGTGAAGTCACGGGAAACAGCTAGTAACAAACAAAAATAATAATAAAACGCGGTTGAAACCGCCTATGGCATTATATATCATATATATACATATAGTATATATTATATATATATATATATATATAATTTATACACACTTTATTTTATTACGCGGATATTGGCTAATTAAGTTTTAACATCTTTGCTTTACTATAATGGATATCCACTAAGTAGCACCTGACTTTATTGACAATATGTAGTAGTAAGAATTAAGAAAGATCTATTGATAGCTAAGAGGATAAGCGCAAGCCTATATTTTCATATTTGTGAGCAATCCCATCCAAATTGTTAATCACGTGCCCGGGGGTAAAGGAAAAAGCAAGAAGAAACCTACTTCACACGTCTGAAAAATAGACTTTTAAGACAAACTAAAAGACAAATCCAAAGAACTCAATTATGATATAATAAATGAAATTAACTTATTTCTAGCTTTAGAAATCATTGCTAAAATATTGTGCATAGGAAAATTAAAGCCACAACTTCAGAAGCTATTACGAGAAAATATTTTTTTTAAATACATATATGCTTGAGTGATTGCACTTCGATTACAAAAAAATAATACGCCGCTGTATATGGACCACGTTACTTCCATTTCAAGATAATTATTTTCATTTTAACATACATATAATCACGCCTCTTTCCCGTAGGGGTAGGCAGAGACCACTTCTTTCCACTTGCTACGATCCTTACATACTTGTTTTGCTTCGTCCACTTTCATTATTCCCTTCATACATGCTCTACTGGTTAGAGTACTATTGACCTGGCCTTTTTTCATGACGTCCCTGATTTGGTCTAGAAATGTCAAACGAGCCTTGTTAGACACCTTCCGACTGCTCATAAAGGAGTGCAAAGCTCCATTCACCATGTTTCCTGCATTCACTCTTCTTTCGATATCACTCTCACACTTTCCACTTTTCACTTTCCTATAGGATAAATGGAGATCTCTATATGCCACGGACCACTAACGATTAGGTGGACTGTGCGCTTGTATGTCACCCTAATTCTATGGAAAAGGTGTCACGCATCACTAAAGCTGCTACGTTTCGGATATATTTCAGTTATAAATTTTTTAAAGTTTAATTATTAAAACGCATGTTTAATAAAAAAACAGCTTATTTTTGATCTGGCCTCGTTAATATCAAGAAAAACTTCTAGGTTATTTTATGTTTCAACTTTCCAAGAAACGTAAAATGTAAAGGCACCCGGTTGTATTTTACCTCTTTACAATTTATTCATAAAATATACTGATGTTGTCTACTTCAGAAAATATTAAAAAAGTATGAAGTAGTAAAAGAAAAATGTATTTTCCTGCGCTGCTGTTTTACGTAAGTCTCTGAGGGAGATTATGTTGGATTTTATTTGCTGTTTGCAATTTCAACGTCATTTGTTTTTTATAGTGAGAGTGTGTTATTACTCTGCCATATAAAAATAATAATGAAAAGCCCAACCAAATGAGAATACTAAAGAAATATCCCCTATCATAATAAAAATAATACCCTCCAGATTGAATTCTGTCATGGTGGCCAGTCTTAACGTAAACTAGTCATTAGCTCAGTACAGGATTATAGTGTCCCAATGTATACGCAAACGCAGGTGCACTCTCTATTCCCTCACACTCATTGACAGATGAGGCGGAAATCCAACGCGACCGGAAAGAATCAAGCGTAAGACCAAGGGTTTTAGGTGCTTTCCGAGGCACGGGGGTAAAACACGTCCAATTTCCTGACTTCAGACTACTATTGAGAATTTCTTGACAGAAATTCCCAGTAACTTATATTGGCCCAACCCGGGATTCGAACTGAGGACCCGACGATCAGCAGTAGCGCTGACGACCTCTAAACCAACGAGGCAGTTCTAATACCAGTAACGGTATTATAATTGAATTTCTTTATAGTGTTGCGCACCACAATTAATACCACTAGCGCCCTCTAGTATCGAGTAGCAGAACTAGGAGAGTCAACAACCTTCTAGAAATTTCGATGGAAGAACTTACTGGAACTATCGACACCTAGTTAATCGGGACCGATATGTACTCGAACATTCTAGATGTTTCTACAGTAGAAGGTTATGGACACTATCTGAGTCCCTATATAAGGCCGGTATAGACCGCGACCGAGGCAGTATTGAATTGGCGATACAAGCGAATACTTCAAAGCAATACAACTGCGAACTAAAGTGATCAGTAGTACAATTGTGTTTCTTTATTAGTGTGGTTTTAAGTTGTAATTAGTGTTCTGCAGTTAAAGTGTCAATTTTGGTAATTCAATCGGCAGTTTTTAATTTTCTCGAACCCCAAACTCGTAACAATAGTAAACAAAACTAACTTAAAGCTATTTTACAATATTCCATAAACTCACATGCCTGTCACCCTGAGGCGCCTTGGCGAAGAGGCTTGGCATTGAGTTACTGTTCTTCATATCTCGCACGGAACAAGTATTTGTAGGGCCTAAGGTTCTTGTGCTGCCTTCACGATACAGGAGAAAATCCTATTGCGAGGGTAACGTATTTAAAAATAATAAAGAGGGGTCAGAGACTACGTACTTCGCTTTGGCACGATCCTGACAAATCTTTCCCGCTTCCTTCACATCCATACACCTACGCATTCATTTTCGTCCATTAAGAGTACGCTTAATTAATAATGTCAGGTAATTAATGTTTTTAATATTAAAATGAAGCGAATTTCAGCAAAACATTTTTTTCTGCATTCGATTATTACGTTAGAAAATCTCGCAAAAATCTCTTTAACGTCAGTAAGCAGCATTTTTAATTACGACGGCGTCTCCTCGGTGAGCCCTTAATTAAATTCTTACAAAGTAAACGTTCGTTTTCAGAAATCCTCAAATAAACATTCTATTCAGTTGAAGATACTTTTCCACTAAGTTGAGAAAGTATATTACGGAAACTTTAAAACTAATGGAAATTCACTTACAAGTGAAACTAGTTTGTCATTGTTTCAGTGGAAGCGCTGTCACCGTGATACGATCTCTGTTTGAGGATGGATCGACAAACGAAGCGTAATTTGTACTATGGAAGTTTGTGAATAAATCTGCATAACATAACATGTGTATATACATACTAATACTTGCTGGCTCGGCAGGTGTAGTTCTGACCCTTCCTTTAGATGACACGATGATTTCACTGTGATGGAATTTTTATGGTGTAAATAATAAAAAAATTATGACTAGATAACAGTGCCATCTATCGGGTACAAATTTCGTGATTTTTTGTACACTAAACTGACGTATTATGTTGCAAATATGAGTGATTTTAAGCCAAAGATAAATAATTTGTTAACAACTTAACTACAACCTATCCGATCTTAGTATAGCTGTCGTAGTCAACTATCTTAACTAGCCTTTTTACTAAACGGCGCCGTTCAACTAGCGGCCTGATTGATATTCAACCGATGAGCCTAATACAACATTACACATATATTGTAATATCGTCGACCGTAGGTTAAAGTGCTGCTGGGATGGCCCTTGGGCAACCCTTAAGCCACATACATTTATATAATACAACACAAAGCGCTAATTAAGCATAGACCAGCGACCATCTCGTTGAATGAAATTAATAAGGTGATAATGCCATGTAATGTCTAGGCTGTTAACGGAAAGGCTAATTATATGCTGCAACATAGCTAGGGATTATTTCCAGCTGCCAAATTTCACGAACGCACATCGCGTCATAATTCACGATACCATCCTCGCCATCTGGATGCTTGGCGGTCCACGACTATGCGTTTTACTAGGAGTTTTTTTCCTCGTACAACTTCTCTGTGTAATTGTTTACCACCGGCGAATTTTGCGGACCGATATGACTTAGGGACCTTTAAAAAAAGAGCTTACACCTTTCTAAAAGGCCGGCAACGCATCTGCAATACCGCTAGTGTTGCGGTTGTTCATGGGCGGCGGTAGTCAATTACCATTAGGTGAGCCGCATTCGAGTTTGCCCCCTCTTCTATAAAAAAATGGACCATCGTCACGATAAAACAAATATATAACGTGAATATTAATTACGTCCCACAGATACCAGTCTCTAAGGGGACTGGCCATAGGATTATAGCTGTCAAGTGTGTGCGCAAGCACGGATGCACTCTCTCTCTTTCCTTACTTTCGTAGTCCGAAGGAATGGTTATCTGACACGACTGGAGAAAGGTCAGGCGCAGGACTAACGGCTTTATATGCTTTCCAAGGCACGGGGGTAAAACACCGCCATTATTCTGACTCCGGACTGCTACTGGGGATTTCTTAGTTAGAATTTAATCACTGATTTTGGACCAACTTGGGATTTGATTTCCAGGACGTCATTGTCAGCAACCGTGGTTATGACCACTTTACCAACGAGGCAGTCATTATGTGAAAGTGAAGTCAATCGGTCAAGTCATCCAAATGTTACACGATCACTAGCAGACTTACCAACGTATATATATATTTTAAAAATAATGAGAGTCAACTAATTAGCAAGTAAATTGTTCGTGTAGGTTAAGCGCCCATATTTAATTAAAAGTCTAATCTAAAGAAAACTTTGCCAAATTGCCTAACATACTCATAAAGCTTTAACGCCATCATCACAATTTCCGAAGAGGTAAC